CGCGCACCACGTTAAATTTCTATAGGAGAATCGAGTGTCCCCCCCCCCCCATATACCGTAGATAATAGTACAAAACTTTCATTTTTTAAATACTTTGTAGATATTCTATAATGTTATACTATCCAATACGCATATTTTATTCTACTTCCTTGGGGGTATCTCGGAGCAATATTGACTTTTGTTTATTAAATGGGAACACCATTTTTTTTCACGTTAATAATTATACGGTATATTTTCTTGAATTATATTAACATTTGAACAAGTAGTATCGGATTTATTCAAATTAAATGTTGTATATGAAAAGCGTACTACAATTAGTATACAATTTATATTTGCCTTATATACAATATGTTTAATGTAATAAGTATTTATATGAAATCCAAATTATCTGGAAGAAGTAGCGAATATCGATTATATAAAATAAATAATAATTTCGTTGTACCAATCAAAGGTATTATATCAAGTCCTTCATACATTTTTATCATTCCAAAAGTAATGGTTTAAACATAGTCAATGTTACATCAACATTTCCAGATGAATTATCTGTGTGAAAAAAATGGTATTCCTATCTGAAAAACAAATTTTGATACTGCAACAGTATTGTAATGTATATTTTTTTATAGTACACACCTACTGGTATTGTCTATAAATCAGAATTTGAAAAATTGCATAATTCAAGTATAAAAAGTGTACGAGCATGCTTAAAAAATCACTCTGTATATAAACTCCATATATACTTTATCCAGGTCGAGCATACGGGTCCCGTATGTCTTGTACATCAAACTGCTCTTCTGGGTCTTTTCGACAAAAATTTGAATACAACATGGATCCATTGGACCTAAGAATCCTCGCCCGTAACACTTGACCGCACTTAATCTTATGTTTAATTTAATCGCCCCCGTTGATGTCTTACTTATTGCGGTTACCGTCAATATCGCGATTTCGCTCGCACGCACAATGCATTACGAGTATGTATTTTTTAATACCCATGCGAAAAAATCGTTTAACATAACTTATCGTACACTGCAACAGTGATATTAACTAATTCAACGACTTTTAATGACGATCTGTAAGTGTTTATAGTTTTCTATGGATTTATTAAAAATTTTAAGAAGAAAAACGGTAGGATATATAAATTTACAATACCTGCAATTTTTAACAATATGAATTTACAATATTTATTCGAATATATTTCATTCATTCACATAGTGTTATTTTATGAGTAGTTAAGTTCACAAAACATTATTCAAGATAATAAATTTAGAGAATAGATGACAAATGTTTAAAATAAAAAGGATTTTTAATTATGAATTCAGATTTTTTTAAATTCAAATACAAATTATAGAATGCTTTATATTATATTTATATATAATATAATTATAATTTAAATTAAGTTGTGTGCTATTGAATATACTTTAAAGCTTTTCGTTAATGTTGTAAAAGCAAAATCATGAGAACAAAAGATAACAAATATTTCTACTTTAAATAATAACTATTTTAAAAGTATCAAAATAATTATAAAATTCGTTAATCCTAATAAATTTTAAGTATTATTGTTTATAAACTAAATACAAATAAATCCAGATAGGTTTGAAAAAGATTAAATCTTCTTTTGGGCCAAGCTTTAGGCACAATTTTGCAATCAAGTAACCATTATGACATATAACTAATGCATTTTTATTAAAATAACATCCAAATATTCTTTTAGATTTATTTTACACCGATAATCTAGACTTAAAATAGTAATCGTATATATAATATAATAATCTTTCTATATTTTTGTGGGCAAAGCCGTTTTTGACCAAAAGCGTACCCTTTCCTTTTCGGCCAATTCACTTTTCGGCCAAATTTAAAATAGGCCGATTCCCTTTTCGACCAAAATAAAAATTTATATAATAAATTTAAAACAATGATGTACAATTATTGTCAGTAATTATTAAAATATTAATATAAAAAATAACGATATTTTGTATCTAGTTTTTTGATCTCTTATCGTAATGAAAATTTTTTGCATTTTTTTTCGAAAAATCGGAACTTTAATTTTAAAAATTTTAGGACTTCGCTCGTTACGCCTACTGGCTTCATTCATAAACTCGAGTGCTATTGTGTGGTACTTCTCGGGGGAATGGAGCTTCACCCCAAAGGTAATTAAAGTCTAAGTCTACCCTAATTTTTGTACAAACCTTGATACTGTTGCAAATTGGATTATGTTTTGTATGTGAACCTAAAACCTCGCTACACGAGTAAAACCCTGAATTGTCATTAATATATTATAGTAGTTTCCATCATAATCAAACATTGTATATCATTATTTTATTATTTTGAATGTATTATAAAAATGTTTGTTTTGGTCGAAAAGTAAATCGGCCGAAAAGGGAAGGGTATGGTTTTGATCGAAAACGAACTCACCCATTTTTATGTACATTTAAAATTACTTAGGTAATGAATCGATTAATTCTCAATCATAATTATCTATTCACTGTCGCCTACTTCTAGTCGCCTGCTTGGTATAATCATATCGAGCATAAATAAATCTTCAAATTTGTTCTTACATAATAAAATTATAAAATTCTAGGAATAAATGTTATTATTATAGGTATATACGTTTAATGTATCGTATATTTATTAAGTATCGAATGTTTTCTCTCTACTATTGCCTACTCCTTGTCAAAACAACAAATTCTCGATTTTTTTTTTTTTTTTATCAATAATACTGTAACATAAATAATTATTTAATTAATATAAGTATCTTGATCTACTATGAAAGTAGTTCTAAAACCTACATCGAATGTCACCATTATTGTTGGAGTTGCGCCATCTAAATGGATTCCATGAAAATCTGAGATGTGTACCACCTACACATATATATATATTGTAATATATAACTTTTTATGAATTATCAAACAAAAATACTTCAATTTGAAAGGTATGAACAATATTATTTATTCCTCAATTCCCTTGGATTTAAAAACTTCTGGTAAATAACTATCAACGTTAAAATAGTTGTTGTGTAACGATATCCGTTTTATTCGCTAACTTTCAATAAAATTAAATTTACAATACTGTATTAAACTGTCAATGTAATCACAACTGGATAAGTCGATCGATTAAAAGGAAATATAAACTTTCGAGAGGACGTCCAGACGTTTTGTCGATTGAAATGTCCAATGAAAATATTCTGATAGTTGCTGTTCGAGGTGAAGAAAATAATTATAATAATATAATAGGTCGAGATAAAGAACATAGCATGTGAAAATTAATTTTCAAAATATATAACATTATCACTACGAAATTAAAATAAATAAAAGAGAGAAACACTAAACATAAAAAATGGTAAGTTTGACGAGATCATAAAACCTAGGATTAATAGTTGAAAAGTGAAAAAAGACACTTTCTTGTAATAAATTCATATCCTCAGAGAAGTAGGATATCTGATCCTTTTTTATATACTTTTTCACCCTATTTAAAGGACTTCTGATTGATATTCGTTTTTGTGTCGTTAAACCTTCTATGATTGTGTGCTCGACCATGTTCGCTCCTAAACATTCTCGTAAAGATAACCATTGAAATCGAAACATTGCGTTGTTGGAATTTTCTTACCGACAAAAACAACTCGCATTCGAGTACCAATATAAAACAACAACAAAATTGTTCGATTATAAATATATTTAACAATAATACATTACAATATATAAATACATAGTTATATAGATTGTGAAGCAATTGATCTAAACTATTATAATATGCTTCTTTTTCCAGTTATTTTTTTTTATATATATAAATAAATGTATGTACTGTATGGTTTCTATTTTTAAAATAACGATTTTATACTTACGTTTTTTGTTTTTTTTTTGTTTTACGTCAATGCAGTATTTATCATTTACTTTTTTTCTCTTATGATAACTTATATTCTGAAGTGAATTCTAGTACATATCAACGCCTCAGTTCAAAAATGCAATAACTCAAATTATGAAACTACTGGTTCTAGAATGAAATAAATGACCTCTAGAGATGAATAATGTAATTAAAAGTTATTGCGTTATAGAATCGAAATCGTCGTAATTTTGCAAATAATATCACGTAGATAATTCAATTCTGAATACTTTTGAATTATTGATGTCTTGAATTGAGGATTCGATATCTCAATAATAGTTTTTTTGAGTTATTGCAGTCTTGAACTGAGACGACAATATTTAGTCTATATATACGACTATATCAAAGTACAAATGCCCGATATTTAACAAATATAGTTGTATTATTTAAACGTTTATTTGTATGGCAATATTTGTTTCAATGGAATTCAAAATCACAGAGTGTAAAATTAATTTTCTTTTAAAGTAAATAAATAACAAATATTTAATAAAAACCATCAGTGTAGACCGATAAAATGAATGTTGCGCATTTATTGGATATTGCCAGGTGTACAATAGCTTAAATCTGTATAAGTATATATGTCAATAAGTCTTCTCAATTGTAATATTTTAATAACATCATGATGCTTTTCTCCTGGGGATTATGTATTTGATATCACGTGTTTGTGTACTTAAGTGTGTGAAGTTAATGGAAACGCAATGAGATGAAATCATCCCAGCTGCACATCAATGCGTGTGTGTTTGTGTATGTGTATATAACTTAAGAGTACCTTTGTATAAAATCATTCGAGATGTGAAATATTTTCTTGCGCAAATGTTTTCTATGATGTTATTTTTCGTGAACAAAAAAATTATTATCTTTCAGTGCCGCACCGTTGATGGTTTTTACGTCTTCTACATTTCATTTCATCGAACTCGTAAAATTGGAATCATTTTTTCGTCATGCTATATGTCCATTGATTATGTATATTTTATTTGTTAATATACATAATATTAAGTTTTCTTTTCATTGTTTGTAATATTAAAGATGTATAATGAAACAGACTAGTTGCGCAGTATTGTCTTGACTTATCATTTCAGACAGTTGGAATCGTTAATAATGCGCGTATGTATACGTTTTATTTTTAGAAACCGGCAGTGAAGAATTTAATCAATTTATATCGCTTTTGGGCAATCGGGTACTGCTTAAAGGATGGGACAAGTACCGAGGAGGACTGGATGTAAAAGGTGATCTCAGTTGGACGTGCATTTTTTCCCAAAACGAGCCTACAAAACCTATTATCTGTTTCCGTTATTTGTTTGGTCTATCTAGGTGACATGACGGGCGAGTATTCGGTGTACACAATATATGAAGGACACGAAATCATGTTTCACGTGTCCACAATGTTACCGTATTCGAAGGACAACCGACAACAGGTAATATGCACACATGCGGGCGGTCGCGATGTCGCCGAATCAATAACAGCGGTTCAGGTTTTAGCGATCGTGCAACGTTGCATTTGAAATCATGCTGAATCGTGTACATGTTACGGTCCAAGTGAATAAATGATCATTGTAAACACTAACCGGACAAAGTTTACGGTATCCGATTTATTCACTACTACTGATAAAAGTTATTGTGACCCGTAGGAAGCAGTGCCTAAAAGAAATCATAAAATATAAAACTCTAAGATACCTTTAATATTCATATTGCCCACACCAGTTTTAGCATTGTATAAAATGACTAGTCTATATGGGAATTAGATATATATTTTTTACTTTTGCCCAAATACCTTAGAAATTGTATACAACGATTGATTTGTCCACCTGGATCGTAACACATAAATATATATGAAATTTGTGGTATCGTTTATGTTTAAAAATGGTTATGAAGATTCACACTATTCCGCAAATTTTGCAGAATCGTAATGTAGTCGATAACAGTCTAAATGCTTTAAATACATTTAAATTGAATAAACAACGATTAAATTAACTAACACTAACCGATCGCGGCATTGCCCGTTCATTAACAGGTAGAGCGAAAACGTCACATCGGAAACGACATTGTCAACATCGTGTACGTAGACGGAGGCACGACGCAAATGTCTCAGTTCAATCCCGCGTTCATCAAATCTCAGTTTACTCGTATCCTTTCGTGCTGTTGATATTATGCCGTCATATGACAATATCTTATGTGATTGTATTTGAAATAATAATAATGATTTATGGTAATATTGATTTTAACAGAAAACGACGATATTGTGTAGGTAAGTACGACAAAAAGGTTTTATAGAAAATACTCAACTATTATACGCTTTGTTTATATACAAATGATTTTTTATTTTTTCTTGTTCAGTTGTATATTTTTTTAATCATTTGAAAATTTAACGATTTCTTTACTTTAATTTTTTTTAAAGTATGATGGCTGCCGAGAACACAAAAAGGATATCATCGTATTAAAATATTACAAAAGGATGATTATTGAGAATATATTGTCTCGTTACAAAATATAACTTAAGAATACAATGTTTTATAAAAAAAGAACCATCGAAAGACAGTAAATTTTATAAATACCACCTATTGATATTATAGAAGACCCTAATTTTAAACGATTAAAAGCTTATTTCCTTGAAATTATGTGCCCCATATGATTTGCTTTTTAGTTTTTAACTTTGAAAATTTCCCATCAATCTTACCTATTAGCTTCTAAAATATAATTATAAATTATTGATTTCTGATCAATATTTGTTTAAAGAGTTTGAACTCTTTGTAAATTTTGAAGGATCAATGACATTAACTATAATATGTATTTTTACAAATTTTTAATTAGTATACATAGACTCAATGTTTCCTTGTTGGACTAGTTCAACTAAAATATATCTAACATAAAAATAAGTAAGAATTAAGTATTCCTTTTTTACATACATTTTATAGAATATTATGAGCAAAAAAAAATCTTTGATAAAAACAATTGACTTTTTTAAACGAACACAATATGAATATTTTTAGCACATGAATAAATGTTTTTATGAATTTAATCAACGTGGATCATATTAAATATGACTTATTTGTAATGACATACAATGACATTTTTATATACATATAAATGTGTTCCTTGCCGTCGCCTATATATCTGCAAGTATAGAAAACAGCATACGGTATAAGTGTGTAGTTTAAGCAAAAAATGTTGCTTCCATTGTATACGAATAACAGTCCATTGTACTGAATTCTGTAAAAAGTCTTAATAACATATGATTCGTAACCATGTTTATATAAACATATTTATTATATATATATAAATGGTTACATCACTATATCATATACGATAGACGTTTGTTAAAAGAAAAGAAACTATATACTATAACATCGTACAATAATAAAACATTTATAATGCCATGATACTCTAAATGCAGTAAAAAAATTAATTTTTAATTGTCTTTTTTGATGTTTAATTATGAAAATATTATATCGGATCATGGCTAAGACTAATTATATTACTCATTGTGATTTTTTCTGCATTATTGAAGAATAGGATTGATATGTGCATGGGTGGAAAAAAATAATAAACTTTAGTCAATGAATTTATACATATTATTTTGTATTTAATGGTTTTGAAGTCCAAGCTATAATTCTTAATTATTATTCAATTAAAATGAGTGTTTAAAGTTTTGAAGTGATTTAAATCAAAAACAAACCTAATTCAAATTAAATTCGACAAAATACTATGTTATATAATAATGAAAGTAAAAATGTGACTTCTGTTGAACGCAGTGGAAATTTTCGGACATTTAAAATGTCAAAATTAACGAGTAAAAAAAAAAATAAAACATCAAAGCTAAATAAACTATTGATTTAAAAAAATTGAATAAAATTTCTTATTGATAAAATGTATTGCTTTATAACTAGTTATATAGGTACTATGTATTTATGATTTCAATTGTATTAGATTTTGACATAATTATATTTTTTTATGACAATATTATAATTTGTTAAAAATAATTATTGTCACCTTGTTCCATGCACCATTTTCTTTAACAACAGTTTTTCGAATAGACGTGTTCGCACTAGTTGCGTACGACTCGTCAGACAACAGCTATAAATTAGTCGTGTATTCCGAAGAATCCGTACCGCTGTTTGGACCGTCGTTGCCGTGTCCTCCTGTGTTCAAGATACCTCAAGAATTTAGAGAATTTCTGATTGTCAAAAGTAAGTGACCGGCAATCATAATATATATTAATTACAGGGACGTATACAAGGGGGGATGTGGGGTCAGATCTCCCACATAGGCCTTTTTAAAATTGTATAAAATAGTGTTCTCAATGTAAGAAAATTATAAGGAAACAAAAAAATATTTGAAGCTAGTATTTGAACATGGTATAAATATAAAAAGGTTTTAAGCTATTTCCACAATAGGAAATGAATCGTTTAACTTTGATAATGTTAATAATTCAAGAAAACTGTGCTTAGATAATTTTTCATCTTCTTAAAAATACTTCATTATTGTTTTAAATTGTATAATCTCATTTTCAAGTTTCGGTTATAAACACTATAAATATTTACTCATTGCTTTGATTTTTCTCTATCAAAATATCATCGTCAATTCCTTCCACGTTTAAAAAAAAACCCAAACAACTCATTTAATTGAATATATGCATTTGTGTGCGCTTTCCACTCATATCGATTGAAAATAAAATACTAAGCACGTTTTCTTTTCCAGTCAATCGTGATTCGTGAATCGAACTCGACAATGACGACAACTATGACCATGAGACGAGTGAGAGGGAGAGAGAGAGAGAGAGAGAGAGAGAGAGAGAGAGAGAGAGATAGAGAGATAACAAAAACAATTGTTTGGTAGTGCGTAAATAAATTATTTAAAACTATTAATATTAAATTTAATAATCTGATGGTTATAAATGATAATACACACTTAGAGATATATAAGAAATATAATAAACACAATTTCATGTCAGTATAACGAAAATAAAAATGCATAGGTTAGGTTTCCGAGTGCTAAATAATAATAATATGGTTTTACCCTTAATGTACTAAACGCCCACAGACGAAATAATTATAATTATAATATTATAATTAATATTTTTCAATAATAAATTAATAATTTTTCCTAAAAACTGGTATTATATAATTTACATACAGAAAATTTCAAAACTTTTGTTGATGCCGTAAAAAAATTGCCACCCCTAAAATTTTGACGTCCGGAGCAGCTACCCCCTTTGCCCCTCCCCCTTAACCCGGAACTGATTGTAAATTATTATTTTGACACATTCAATATATATATTATTATTATTTATTTATTATTTAAATGTGCAGGTACTGAGGTTTAGGAATTTACCATCCATAATGATTTGTTTGCAACTGATCCCCTTCCTTACAAAAGTTATGTATACGCCATTGATTAATTATATTAAATATTATTATTTAAGATTTTAAATTATACGAATAATGTACTGGTTTTACCATTATGTGTTAATTTTATTATTTATGTTAACAAATTCATCCGAAAAAGTTGCTCCAATTATTACAAAATTAGGTTCTAGTTGATTCTGTAAGGTGATTACAACTTACATTTCTTAGCAGTTTTCCAAATTATTGAGAAAAACGAAAAAATAATTGCAAAAAAGATATTTAATTTTAACCGAGATTCAAATCTCATACATATCTACAACTGATAGATATGTAAGAGATTTGAATCTTGAATATTTTTTAATATTTTTTTTATCTACAGCTGATAGATAAAAAAATATTAATCTTCAAATAAAAAAAAATAAAAAAAAAATTACGAATATTTGCATATATTAATTGTTAACAAAACCATATAATCATAAAAAATCCATTATATTTATAAAACCAAAATTCATAAAATTTTAGTTGTTACCAAAAATAAAAGTATACCAAAAAATCGAAAAAAATATAAGGGTTTCAAAATATAATTTCGACGACAAATTCAGGTGCCTAAGTCATTAAATTATTTGAATTATTTAATAAAGAATATTTCATAGTTTTGATGTATTATAATGAATCTCATCCAACCATGTAGTCCTACTAATCTAACCAAGGAGGAATTTCGCCTTTTTATATTATATTATTGTATTTGCACTATGCTCACTGAAGGAATATATTATATTTTAAATGAACAAACACACGCTAACATCAAAAGCACAACGCGTGTATAAAACTTCAGTGTATGATGAGCTTTAACTTATTCGAATCGAAATTATCATAACACAAAAATTATGAAAACAACCTTTGTGTTACTATATTGCCGGGCGTTGGTTGGAACATTAAATTATGTACAATGATTGCGTCGCTTGTTGAGAATAATTTTTATACGTTCACACATTTTTCTTTAATTTATAAATTATACTATAAGATCTACATTTTCTTTCATTTCCGGTATTATGAAATAATGTTTTTCAATAAAAGAGTTGTTTAATACCGGACAAACAACAATAATTTAGTGATTGTGATTATTATTTTTCTACATTTAAATGCGCATTTTGGAAAAACATTCTCGAATCTTTGTATGTTTGGAATTAATTTTTACACGTACATTAAATTCCTTCAATTCTATACGCTTGAGCTAAAAATTACATGCACCGAATTCTCCCATTATCTTTTTTATTATGCTTAAATAGATAATCAATATTAAAATATTAATTCAAAAAAGAATATACGCAGGTATACATATTATGAAATTGTTGATTATGAATATACGCAGGTATACATATTATGAAATTGTTGATTTTTTTTGTTTATTTATGTTATTTATTACAAATTTTCATTTATTTTATTTTCATCGAGGCACAAATTAAATCAATTATTTAATAAAATATTGAATTAATTAGTTTTTTTTGGATTAATTAATTCTTTAAATTATTTCTCAAATCAAAAAACTCTGTACTGTACTCTTTTCTGTTTGATAGAGATTTAGGATTGAAAACCATTTATATATAGCTCTTTAAAGTATTGGTTTTTTTTATCTTTTCGCTCGTTATATACAGTTAAATAATTGAAAATGTGTTAAACTGATATTTCTATTTTTTACAACCTTGCAATAATAAGCAAGGCAATCTATAAAATAGTCACGCAATTCCCAATAATAATAGTATATGTCTAACTTTCCTTAATGGTTGTAAAAGTGCGTGATAAACAGAAATTCGAAATAATATTATTATTTAAGACAAATTATAAGATGTATTCAGACGCGTTTATACGAGTACTTAATTTTTTGCTTATCGTTTTTTTTTTATCATTCTCTGTCCTTTGTAGTATAATTTTGTACGATTTTATATTTAACGATTTCGCGGTAACATGATTTTTGTACTTTAAAGTGCTTAAGTCTGATGTTTTTATTAAAATATACTGCATTTTAATTTGATAATATTTTAAACTTTTAATACATCAATTTTCTTTTTGTGTATTTCGATAAAAATAAATTTAAAGAAATATTTAATAATTTAATATAGAATTAACTAAAATAAATTTCTGATACTTAACAATATTTCAAAGCTATTGTGATTAATTTGTGATTTGATCTAATTTCTGCACCTAAAAATATAAGATTTTTTGTATTGCAGTGATAAACGGTGAAAAAGCTACGTTCAATACACCCACGTTTGCGAAAAAGCGTGAGCGAACTCTTGACATGCTCATCAAAGACCTTTACTCGGACTACATGTCGGATTCTAGTAAAGTAGTAAGTTGTTGAATTATTATATTTATATATGTGTGTATATGTGTATGTGTACATGTTTTATTTTCAATTGAATACAATAATCAATACGTTCGTGTTTCACCGTTTGCTTTTTACCTTAAACGTTTTCACATTGGAGAAGTTTTGTTGAAAAATGGTTTTGACGATTAATAACACTGGTTAGGTATACTTTCTGGTACACACGCATTTCATCGTCGCTCAAAATAATTTTAACGAATTTGTGAATTTTATACCTATATCTAGTACTTTGTGCTCAGTTTTTGGCAGCTGTAGATTGTAGTAGGTATTTTAGAAACCTTTATTTGTAATGATATTAATTAATACTTACTATATGAAAATTATGTAGTTATGTCTTCGATTTCTATATATATATACAAACCATTGTAGATAAAAACATCGAAAATTAACCTATTGAGGATGACAATGGTGTACCGTTTAGTACCAACATTGTCATAATTTGGTTTGAACATTATTATTTGATTTGTTTTTTCTGCGCGCGTGCCTAAAAACCAGTTATTAATTAGTTGATATTTAAAATGTGACAATCTCATATGATGCACATAATTATTAAACTATATCAGCGGTTCCCAAACTTTTTTTTCAGCAGTGTCTTTTTGGACCCAATTTAGCCACGGTGCCCTGTTGTGAACTACATTACAAAACAAAAAAAAAAAACTTATTAATAATCAATTTTATTAATTTTATTAAAATTTAACTTAATTATAAATTAATCCATTTTTAAATTTAAAAAATAAATAAACAAAAATTATTGTTATTATAACGGATGATAAAAGAAACAATTAAAATAAAATAAAAACACTCCTAGAAAACTATAGCAGGCATGATATGGATATAATATTAGTAATTCGTAGAAATTATTTATAGCAACAAATAAAATGAAAAAGAAAAATCGAAAATAAACACATTGAAGGAAAGAAATGATAAGCGAGAATAAAATTAAAATAAGAGAAGCTAGTGATTATTTTTAATACATGGAAAAATATAAAAATAAACCAAACTAAATGCATGGAATTAAAATATAAAATTCAGTTAGTATAAATTAAGGTAAGTTACACATCAGATTACTCACAAACAATAAAAGGGACAACGGTTGGCAAGCTAACTACCAAAAGATAACAAGGGCATGGGATTTTAAAAAAAAGTCGAAAATAAGTAAATGAATCAATATGTCTAAAAAAAAGTGATACTTCGAACAGGAAATGAGTCAAAAACGTTATACGCTAAAGTCACTTGTCAAAACAGTTAACAGTCAAAACAGAAAACACAAAAACTATGTAATTCGAATCTATTAGATTAAAGAGTGCTTCACTATTATAAAGCCCAATATTTGTCAGATAAAAAAGTGAATAAAGTAATTTTGTTGACTGCGTTGAATTTAAATTACACCGGTTAGGGTATAGATGTAACTTTTTTTCTCTTGATCGAAATAAACTCTTCAAACTTTTATCTATTGGTACATCAAAATATCGAACGTACGTAATAATAAATATGCATCGTTACTACTTTATATAGGTACTGGAGTGTATGTTTTAATACCGTAGATTGTTGTTAAACATTTTTTCAACATTTTTCATAAAATATTTTACGTTTGCAGTAATAATAGTGTTCAGAAAAATCAAACAGTTTCGTTGCCCATCACAAACAATATAATACGATTATTATTATTTTTACTATAATTGGCAAGTATAATCAAAAAATTATTAAGCTTCAATTACATTGGGCGAATTTACCAACTTATTAGACTATAATATATTTAGACTATAGTCTATTCAGAATAAGAGTGCATAGTCACTTGGACGAAAACTGGTTTTTATTACGCATGTATCTCTTCCACCAGAAAAGTTGTAGTATGCCGACGTATTGCGATGCTATTATACGTAGTGAACTGTATTATCACACTATTTTCGTAACGCGACGCTATAGTTCTATTTTGAATAACAAGGTTACGTTAATGACCCAGATAACGTAGAAAAAGAAAACAACTACAGAATATGCAAAAAAAAGAAGTAAACAACATAATCAGATACGAAAAGAGAAAAGACACCAAGAATATCATAAATTGAAAAGTCAACGTCATTTATTCTAAAATATCAATGCCATTAGGAATGGATTCAAGAAACAAGGAAAGTTCCTAAAAAATAGTGATGGTACATTTATTACAAACCCAAATAATATCTTGGATAAATGGAAAGACTACTTTGAGAACCTCCTTAATTTTGAGGAATCCATAGATACATTTACTTGGACTGACGCAGAACTAAATGAAAGCGAATACCCTTCATTATCTAGAATTGAGATATTTATCCTAGACAGAATTAAATTAATCTCCGAAGGAATTCTGAAAAACTACCAAGGAGGATTAAGACCAAAAAGATCTACTACAGACCAAATATTCATTATAAAATAGATTTTCTAAAAAGTGTGGAAACATGTGAAGGAGGATTATACATTGTTTGTGTTCATACGATTCTATACAAAAGCAGAGCCTCTTTAATATATTGAAAGACTTCAATATACCATAATATTAATTAACCTAATTAAAGTAGCAAATAAAAACTCTGAGATTAAAATAAAAATAGTAAATTCTATATCCCAATCATTCAAAATAACCACTGGTCTGAGGCAAGGAGATGCACTAGGCAGACCACACCTTAAATGAGAATGCTGTGTAAAGAGATAAGTTAAAGAAGTAGACCCAGGATCAAACTGGTGAGAAGTAGCAAAAGACAGAGGTAGATGGAGGAAAATTTGTTGTATGGGAGACCAGAAAAACCCCAAAAAAAAAACATTAAATATTAAGTAGTCAGTATTGAAAAAAAAAATCTATGAATACTGAAATAGTCACGGGCTTAACTTATCACTGGGGCCAAAGATCCTAGTTAAGCCAGTACTCCCAAACCACCCAACCCCTTTTAGTTATGTCGTGTTGAATGATGGACGTACAATAATATTGTATACAATAAAATTGTATACAGCCGCTAGCTATTCCAAATACAAGACAATGCAAAAGGAGTCATTTAGAATAATTGATGTACAATAAAATTATGGAATGTATATACTATGCTCATATTGAAAATATGATCCCTAATTGAAATAAAATAATTTACTATGTGTACTTTATTATTGATGATATTATATTGATTCGCTGGGGCCAAGAAATTTTCAAACTGGTCAAATGGACTAATAGGGAGGATGACTTGAAGGTGGTACATTTGTAGAAGCAAAAGATTTTTTTTTTTTTACCGGAAAAGTAAATAAGGCACCGTCCCGCGCCTAATCGTTTTATTAAAATCCATACTTGATATCCGCATTATAAAAATATATACTTTAACTTCATTACAGTCATTATGTGCACATGCACTGTATATTATAATGCTCAAAGTAATGAAATCGACAGCATAAAATCATATTAATAGGTGTCAATAATGTTTAAAACAATGTAGTAGAAAGCCGTTTTATAAGACAAAAACTCGTAAAACAGTTCTATTTTATTTTTCGACCGAATATTAACTTTTTAATTTTGAAAAAATTCCAAAAGAGGATTCCCCCTTCTTCACCGTAAGACCCATGTTTTCTGGGTCGTTCACCAACTATAAGTCATTCCCATCGCAAGAGAATCCATTCGTAACCAGGGGTGTTGTTAGTAATGCACGTTCCGTATGTTCTGCGATTGTCCACAATCGCAGTTGACGTCTCTTGACTTCGTCAGAAGTTTCATAGTTTTTAAAGTCGTTAATCATAATATTAAAACCGAATCATGATTTTGAATTTAACATGTTTCGAAAAAGCATAAGGCACAGCTTCGTAGTTATTTCAAAACAATATGTTGTGACATTTCAAGACCATATTCTCTCGAACTTTATCTAACATTTCTTGAGCTGACCGATGATTTTCATTAAATTCAAAATGTCTCAGATATCTTATTTTATTGTTGACGTTGAATGTTACTTTATAAAAATATGTATTAAACTTAAGGTTTCCGGCAGTTGCACTAAAACTGATGTTGGTTAATCTTTTTGTTTTCGTAATAACTTCGAACTTTATCTGCAATTATCCCATCTCTTAAGTTTAACAAACATGGAAACTATACTTTTTAATTTATTTGATTTATATTATTCGACTTCTGCCATGTAATTCAGCTTAATGTTGAATGCTAAACCCATTGAAATATTTTTTAACGGTTTTGATTTCAGAATTATTTTTTACTACATAAATATTGAAAATATCATCGGTTATTGATAGCCGCACCGATTATTGTTTACAAATGCTGTTTCCAAACACTATAACACGTTTTAAACAAGTCATATCATCTATTGATACCGCTGCAAGTTAAGCAGATAACTGTCCTGAATAAGTTTGTTGGCATTTTTTAACCGATTCAAAATGAGTTTTTCTTATACGCTGGTTATAATCCTTATAATTGCGTCTCGGTCGTTTAAGCTATCGGTGTCGAAGACCTTTTGAGATGTGAAAACAAATTTCTTAACCTTAACATGCTGCACCGCAACTGATACGTCCCATGGTAAGCTTTGGGTCCCAAACCCCGACTTCGAATTCGCTCCCACGTCTCTGTGCGCGGCCTCAAGCGGTCCGTCCACAGTCCGGACATCCTAGGCCACGGTGTTGGCAAATAGTTATTGAAATGAGTGTTGGCAAACGATTAATTAAATGAGTGCTATTGTCCGTGTCCCGCAGGCGATGCTGAACAGACGGGCGTTCAGCGACGTGCTGCCCGACCCGCCGAGGAGTTCGCGGCGTAAGGAGGAAGCGCGGCAGGTGGAGTTCGTACGCATCGGCCAGGCGTTGAAGTTGGACACCATCGTTAAGGGCGACGCGCCCACCAGTCTGGCCACGACGGGCCTGTTCAAACGAGCCCCGTGGGAGCCGCAGTGCTTTTACCCAGACTTCGGCCACGACATCGTGTGCGGCGACTCATGGGGCGACAGTCGGCTGATCGTCGGCACCGAAAACAGTGGCGTGTTCGTCATTGAAGGTAACATAAAACGCGCGGACGGTCGTCACGTCGTGATAGGACTGCGCGCATCGCTTGCATCCTTTCCTGTATAGTTTTCGATATGAGTTAACAATATTGCGGTGTACGAGTTGTGCGTGCTTGAACGTCCCTCACCTATCGTATTCGTCCACCAATCGTTTGCGTCCCGGACAATGATTTTCGATACAATACGGTCGAGAACGTTGGGATCGTAAATAAAAAAAACGAAATAGTCGAAAAGGTATCGACGAAAATTCGTTTGAATCATTTCGTTGAAAATTTAATTATTCGTTTTATCAACCTTAATATTTTCGTGTTCGTAAAATTAAATTACTATAAACATTTTAAATTAATACAAATTTTTTTTTCCTGATTAAACTATAAATAAATTATAGAAATGACCAAAAAGATAGAATATAATTAATTGAAACTCAAATCAATAAATGCGACAGATAAATTATATCCTAACCGATTGGTTCAAAGTTTAGACGCAAGTTACCGACTATTATCAATTTGGGACGCAATTAGTCTGTACCGTATGATAGTAGTAATACAGAATAGTGTGTTGTTCAACGTAAAACAAACGGTTTTCTCTCGGTCGACTACTTAATTTCTAAGAAAAACAAAAAATTATGATTCATATAATATTACGAGAAGAGAGAAAAATCATATTAATCACTTATTTTTTTTTTTTTTTATCCTAATAGTTTTCAAAAATAATGAAGCTCATCGTACCGGTAGTGATTATTTATATGCTTAGATAAATGGATAGAATTATGTTCGACAAAACGTATATAATCTATACTATACATACACCAAAAGAATATAATTTTTGTGTATTAAATCAATAGCCTTTCTTGATACAATTGCTGCATGCGACTGTATTAATTATATGACATAAAAAGAAGAAATCATTTTACGATAATTTATAAATACAACAAAACCGTTTATTAAATACAAACTTGTTGAGTTATTGAACATAAACACATGATCTCTGCATAAGTTTGAGAAGTAATAATTTAAGTGTATTATGGTTATTTTACCATTAAAAGAACGAAATTTTCAATAAAATGCCTTCTCAATAATTTTGAAATCGTATGATTGCACTGAAAACTAATGATTAATAACATTATTGCGGATAGTAAAAGGGATAAAGTAGCAAAAACAAATTGTTGAGCGGTATTAAAAACAAACCCCTACAATGCTATAATCACTACAATTTCCAAGATTATGATTTGTGTTTAAAATCCGGCCGCGTACAACACGATTCTTATTGAATATTATGTTAAAAATATTGTTTTTATGACGTATTTTTTTTAATTCTTATCGTATGTTTTATAATATGAAAATCTTTAATATAGCCTGAACTACTAGATACTAGCCTGGAGCTATGAATACAAATAGTTTAGGTATCTTATCACTGCAATGAGTCGTGCATTCGAGAGACGGCCGCACTTCAATATTAAATCAACGAGTTGTAATCGGAACCAGGATACACACGCGTTTGCGTGTGGACATGTGATTTTCTTTCCGTTGTAATTAACTGGAATAACATCGAGCCAAGAATATAGTTATCGTGACGTCAATACGATGATGCTGATAGGGCTTCTATGACATGCGTAATGAAGTACTCGTTTGCGAAACGACGTAGTGTTCAAGTCCACCGTAGTCCCACTAAACGTATACAAATGTAGTAATAGTAATAACAGTAGTAGCCCGGTTGATTGATACTATGCCGTTTGCAGTTATTTCAGTCATTATCTTATATTGTCCGGATATGTTATTGCGTGTTTGTCTTTTCTGAGAAAAATCCTGTACGTCTATTCGTTTCAACGTTCATGACCATATTGGTGAACGCAGATTTCATTGTTGTGATATGACAATATGGCGACAAAAAAATGCTGATTTTACCTTTGATAATATCAAAACATTTACCTACGTCAGGCATGTTTTTTGTCTGTTTATCATTGTTCTTATTCGGATATGGTAATACCGACGGAAACATTATATTACGTACCAGTGGTAGATACGACGGGTTTGGTATTTATTAGAAAAAATTATTTATACGATTAATTATATAATGTTTCAACTCTCATCAATTTATAACTACGGCTAATGCTTACTACCTAAGTTAGAAACAAAAACGTATCTATTCTAACCATTAGTTCAAATAGTTTTAGAAAAATAAATTCCATGGAGCAAAAGTCCCCACGGTTTTTGTACGTGATTAGATATTTTTATTTTCAATTCGTCTAACGAAAAAATTTGTACAAAATGGTAGTTTCTGGGTATCCCATATCTGGAATTAAATCGTTTTAATATTAATGTCGAAATAAATTATTTTTCAAGTATTTAAAACATAAAAAGCGCTTAAAAATGTAAGATTGGTTTGTTCACCATGACAAATAAAATTCAAAATAAATTTCCTTCCTTTACATTTCTTTCTAAAGAAAATGTATCGTAAAATTACCAAAATGTTTGATCGTGAGAAAAATTATACATCATCGTAAAACTTCAGCTTTGAAAAAACGATTAAAATTTTTGATTTTCAGGTCCAGCGCATATTTCAACAATTATCAAAGTTATCTCCATTCTCATTTTCCGGTCTCGTAAATTTCCCGATTTTATTTTTATCAACCTTTATGTATGAGTGAACACGGGTGGTATGATTATATTTCAGTTGAAATGGAACCATCATTTTCAAAATAAACAATTTCTATAAACTTGTGACCGATAAATTCAACCCGACGAGTTTTACTGTCAGGAAATATATCCGTTATAAGTTCACCGCCGAAAAACGACTTTTGACGAAAACCATCCGATCAGGTAATAGTAAAATAATATTTAAACGGAAATCGTCTCAAAGGTCCGGTGAAACACGAATCATATCAGATTCTAGAACGTTCACATTTATTATTTTTGCAAAAAAAAAACATTTTTTTTTAACACCATGGTTGTTTTTTAACCAACGTATTTTTATAATGTTAACTATTTAATTTCTGCATAGCGTTTACCGCCTTATTATTAGGACGTCTTAGGACGATTTTTCAATTCGATATAAGTAATGAATGTTAGGTTATACAACCTTTTGACATGGTAGTTAACCGAATTTCTTTAAATTTAATTTGTCCACATCACGCTTTGGGTTTTGATTTAATAAAAAGATATTTTCAAATATTTTTCCTTTTACAATAATTGACAGTTACATTCAATTTTTAATTTGTGAACTCGTAAAAGTTAAAGTTTAAGTCATTTTTTGATTGGTAATTAGTTAAATAATTTACGTGCACCTATAATGATTACAATTTAATCATAAGAACAAAAATACTGATTCCACCAGTAATATTAATATACTGTATTATTACGGTTAATTATTAAATAACTATCTCGACCCAAACATGAATCGTCAACCATAGGTACCATACCATCGTTTCATTATTATTATAATTTTTTTTTTTTTTTTTTTTTTGGTTTTTTAATAGGTTATTAATACAGCTTATATATTAAAATCAAAGCGCCAAGACTATAACCCGTTTTCTGCTTAACAATGGGCTAATCCGGGTGATGATATTTTAAAATATGCAATAAACTTTTGTTTTTACGAACGTTCAAATCATATAAACTATTTTTCGAAAATTTTTATCATGTAACAAACTTTAACATTCACCAACATAATTTAGAAACTTTTGTCCCTTTGTTTTCAGTTTAAACACTAATAATATGTAAGTACCTATAAGTGTAGAAATAATTGAAATCTGAGCATAGAAATTACAGTATTCAAACCCCAAATGGTAATGAATGTTGCTCGTTCATTCTAGATTGACACTAATTAACTGTCTAGTTCTTAAATGTGAAGATATTTAAGTCATGAGCAATTTAAATATACATTATCTTCTATATTGTAAAATGTATTTAATATTCGTATATATTATACTTTATACATTTTTAAAATTAAACGAATATTAACTTTTCAATAATATGAATACAAAGATGACTGATATTAGCTGACTTTGAAAACAATATTGTCTTTATACATAACTCAATTTAAAATAAGCTATAAAAACTCATAAAACTTTAATGTCAACTACAATATTAAAAATCATCAAGTTTCGAGTAAAATTACTGAAATGTATTTACATTTCCTATACTTTGTAATTCATTCGTGTCAACCAAGGCAAAATGGAAAAAAATAGCATTTATGCTCACATTTAAAACTATAATATGCAAAAATGCTTTTTTTATTTATTCGAGAATCCTAATTATTCGTTCAAAAACATTATATAAACTATTTCATTCGTGTAAATATCATGCATTTTAAAACGCTTTCAAATAATATGAACTATTGAACCCAAGCGGTTGATTGTGTACAAAGCAACGTTGTGGTACCTATTCAAATATTGTATTTTAATTACTATATTCGCCTGCAGTACGAAAACAAAAAAGATTTTTACCCGGAAGTAAAATTTACTTCTCCGGTAACTGAGCAACCACTCGGTACCCAAACAAAACATCGTGGTTTTAATTGTATATTTTGAAAATCTGCTGTTGTGATAACTGTAATATCCGCCCGACCATTTGATCAGATAATACCACACAAAGTTACATTTAATTTTTATACACAATTTAAACATGAAAAACGCATATACATACATATCGAAACGATTTGTCTATTTGCACTTGGTAGGTTTCAAACCAGTAAGTGTACGTGTCGTCGCTCACAATTTTATGGTTTTTACCTATTCACTACAGAACTCCATAACGTTATTTTGAGTAGATTTTTTTTGTATTATTGTAATATTGTGCTATTTAGAAAATACAACGCATTGTTTTTAAACAGCATAATAATGTACCGTAATAAATATACTAAATATACCATATTATATATAATATATTTACCATATTTATATAATATAAATATGTAATAAATATACCGCTGCTACGGTATATTTAGCGATAAATTTTCGTTCCAATTATATTCCCATCAATGGACTGATCAAAAA